TATACCACATTTTCATTATCTAGTCATCCACTGATGGACACTTAAGTTGATTCCATATCTTTGCTATTGTGAAAAGAGTGGAATAAACAGGTGAGTTCTGGTATCCCTTTAATATATTGATTTCTTTTCCTCTGGGTAGATATCTTATAGTGTGATTGCTGAATTAAATAGTGATTATATTTTCAGTTTTTTGAGAAATCTCCATACTATTTTCCACAATGGCTATTCTAGTTTACATTCTCACCAATAGTTTATAAGAGTTCCCGTTTCTCTGCATCCTCACCAACATTGGTTATTTTTTGTTATTTTAATAACAGCCATTCTAACTGGGATAATATGATATTTCATGTTGGTTTTGTTTTGCATTTCTCTGACGATTAGTAATGTTTAGCAGTTTTTCATATACCTGCTAGCTGTTTGTATATATTTTTTGAGAAATGTTCTAAACATATCTCAACAAAGAAAAAGGTGCAGGAAATATATGGTATAAAAGATAAACACTACACCTTTAGAGGGCACTTACCATGAATGGAGCCTGCGGGACTGGAAGTTGCTCTTGGTGAGTCAGGGCATGAGTAAATGTGAAGGACTACAATATTACTGTGGACTCCTATAGACTCTATTATCACTGTTTATTTAAACTATACTACATTTTTTAAAAGATTTTTCTTTCTTCAATAATACATTAACTTTAGCTTACTGTAACTTTTTTACTTTATAAACGTCAATTTTTTAAACTTTTGGATGCTTTTGTAATTATACTTAGCTTAAAACACAAACATATCGTACAGATGTACACAAATATTTTTCTTTATATCCTTATTCTATATGTGTTTTTTAAAAATTTTTACTTTTTAAGTTTTGTTAAAAATTAAGATACAAACACACATATTAGCCTAGGCCTACACAGGATCAGGATCATCAATATCACTGTTTCCTACTTCCGTATCTTGTCCCACTAGAAGGTCTGCAGGGGCAGAAACATGCATGGAGCTGTCATCTAGGATAACAATGCCTTCTTCTGGAATTCTTTCTGAAGGACCTGCCTGAGGCTGTTTTACAGTTAACTTTTTTTTTTTTTTTTTTTTTTTTTACGAATAGAAGAAATACACTCTAAAATAAGTATAAAAGTAAATACATAAACCAGTAACTTAGTCATTTATTACCATTATCAAGTACTATGTACTGTATATAATTGTATATGCTAGACTTTTTAGATTTTAATATGATTAGTCATGCATAGGTTTGTTTACACCGGTATTACCACAAAAATGAGTAATGCCTTGCACTATGATGCTATAATGTCACTAGTCAATAGGAATTTTTCAACTCCATTACAATCTTATGAGACCACTGTTGTACACACGGTCTGTTATTTGCTGAAATGTCATAGTATGGTGCATTATTGTATTTCCTTTCTTCTGCTTATTTTGGGTTTTGTCTATTTTCTGTTTATCAAGGTGAAAGTTGAAATCATTGGTTTGAGACCATTTTTTTCCTACTATATCTCATGCTATAAAACTTTCCTTAAGTACTACTTCAGTGGCATCCTAAATTTTTTTATATATTGTTTTCACTTTCATTCAGTTCAAAATGTTTTTTAATTTCCATTTTGATTTCTTTTATGACCCATGAGTTTGTAGAAGCATGTTATTTTATTTCCATATTTGGAGATCTTTCTGTTACTGATTTCTAATGTTATTCCACCGTGGTCAGATAATACACTTTGTATTACTTCTGTCCTTTTACATCTACTGAGACTTCTTTTATGGTTCAGAACATGGCCTATTTTGGTAAATGTTCTGTGTGTCCTTGGGAAGAATTCTGTGATGTAGGATGCAGTGGTCTATAAATGTCAATTAGGTCAAATTGTTTAATAGTGTTGTTCAAGGCTTTTATTAATTTTCTGTGTGCTTATTCTATTAATTACTAAGAAGAGCATTAAAACAGCTGACTGTAATTATGGGTTTGTCTCTTTCTTCTTGTAATTTTAAGAGTTTTTGCTTTTTATGTATTTTGAAGTTCTATTACTAAGTGCAAAAAGTGTTAGTATTACTTCTGCTTAAAGAATTTACCCCTTATGATTATGAAATAACCTTATTTATCCCTGGTAATATTCATTCCTCTGAAATCTACTTTCTCTGATACTACTATAGTTACTCCAGCTTTCTTTTAATTGGTGTTAGCATGGGACAGTTTTCTGTTCTTTTACTTTTAATCTATTTGGGTTTCTATATTTAAAGTATGCTTGTTATTTATATCTGGGCCCTGCTTATTTTATTGAATCTGGCAGTCTGCCTCTTTGCAGAAGTTGTTAGACTATTTATATTTAATGCGATTATTGATATAGTTAGTTTTAAATTTCTTATATTGTTTTCTATTTGTCTCATATGTTTTTTGTTTCCCGTTTCCTCTTTTTCTTCTTTTGAATTAACTGAGTATATTCTGATTCTATTTCTTTTGTATATTTATTAACTATAACCACTTCATTTTAGCAATTGCATTAGAGTTTAAAACATATCTTTAACTTATCACAGTCTATCTCTTAGTGATGTTCTACCACTTTATGCATACTTCCATTTCACCCCTTCAGCCTTTATTCTACTGTTAGCATATATTTTATTTCTACATATGTTATAAATCCCACAATGTATTGTTATTTTTGTTTAAACTGTGAATTGCATTTTAAAGAAAATTAATTAGTATATAATTGCCTCATGTGGTTACCATTTTTAGTGCTCTGCATTCCTCTGTGTTGGTCCACGCTTCCCTTTGGTATTGTTTTCCTTCTGCCTGAAGGAATTTAGCACTTCGTGTAGTGCAAGTTTGCTGGTGGTGAGTTCGATCAGCTTTCGAATATCTGAAAATGCCTTTACTTTGCTTTTGTTTTTGAAAGATATTTTTGCCAGAATGGAATGGATATAGAATTCTAGGTTGACAGTATTTTCTTTCAGTTCTTTAACAATGTTATTACACTGAATTCTTTTTTGGTAAATTCAGTAACAAGATATCTGTTGCCATCTTTATTTTTGTTCTGTGGCTGCTTTTGACTATTACTGGTTTTGAGAGACTTGATTATTATATATCTGTGTTTTCTTAATGTTTCTTATATTTGGAGTTTGTTCAGATACTTGGATCTGTGGGTTTTCACCAAATTTGGAGAAATTTCAGTCATTATTTCTTCAAATACTTTTTCCAGTTCTTTCTTTGTTTTCTCCTTCTGGGATTCCAATTCCAAGTATATTAAGCTGCTTCAAGTTCTTCCATATCTCACTGCTATTCTTTCTTTTTTAAAATTCCTTTTATTCCTGTATTTTATTTTAGACAGTTCCCTATCTACAAGTTCACTAATCTTTTCTTCTGTAATGTCTAATCTGTTGTTAAATCTTTCCAGTATATTTTTCATTTTGCAGATTGTAGTCTTTAATTCTATATGTTTGATCTGGGTCCTTTTTATATTTTCCGTATCTTTACTTAACTTGAACATAGAGCATTTAATTATAATAACTGTTTTCAAGCCTTTGACAGCTAATTCTAACATCTGCATCAAATCTAGTTTGGTTTCCACTGGTTCATTTTTCTCTTCATTATGAGTGTGGGTACAGACTTTAAATTTCTTTGTCACAGAACACCAAATTGTCCTCAAAAATGTTTTATCATTTATTCTATTACTACCAGTACAGTCCTATTACTACCAGCGCTTCTTTATTCTGCCAGCACTGAATTTTGTCAATCTTTAATCTTTGCCAGTCTCATAGGCTAAAACTATTTACTCCTATAGCAGATATTTTGTTGAGCACTAACTATAAGCCCAGTGACACATGGTTACAATTCTGTGGTGTTCCAGCAGCCATAGGAGATACCCTCATGGTGGTGCTTATCACCTTGTGTAGTTTATCACATTCTTATTTGCACTTTATTTGGTTATTGTGATTTTAAGCACCTTTCCCTAAGTTTGTTGGCCATTTATACTTCTTCTTTGATATACTGCCTACTAATATCTACCAATTAGTTTTAATAAATTGTTTGAATATTTTTTTATTTCTATTATTTACTAAGCTATTTATTTGTCAAGGATAGACACTCACTTTCACTTTTTCACTAATAAAAATATGTTTTTAAAATAAAGACATTTCCTTTAAAATAAACTAATACTTGTATATGATTTCTTTGAAGAAATGATTTCTATGTTACTCAAATACTTTTTGCTATATTAAAAGTAAATAGAAACTGATTTTGGTATAAAAACAATGTCCTTAAAGGCAAACTTTTTCAAAGAATATAGAAACACAAAATACATATATAAATATACGACATTCACAAATATGCAAGTAAATAATTTCATATATATATCTGATAGCAACATATGCATTACTTATATTCCTTAGAAACAATCATGCAGATTACAAATGTCACTTTACTTTTAACAATGAAATAGAAAGACAAGGAGATTAAACATCCTCAGACTATATATTTCCAGTTGATTAAATATTTCTGGCAAAGTCATGCCATCTGTATTGGAAATGCCCCATGTATAAGATTATTAATTTGCAATAATCTAGGATCTCTCCTTTCAAGAAAGTGTCAAAATGCCCATTATCAAGCATTTGCTTATCCTCTGAAGAGTATCAGGACCTTTCTAAGGTACATGCTACCTATTCATCTGGCTATATAGGCAAATGTTGGGAGTACCAGGGAGGATGCCCTCATTGTGGCACAGGTTCTATAGAGGGCCTGTTGTCATTCATTGCCAACGTGAGGTGGACAGGGAGGGGAAACCTTGAGATGTGTTCAGCTCCATGGAAAGGGGTATGACTTGTACATGTGTCATAAGACTATGAAGCATCAGCCCTCTGAATATGATGAAAAAAATATGCCACCAGTTATGCTGTGAATAAATAAACTGAGCAGTTTTAATAATAGTGATGCCAGCAGCCAGAAAAGTCCCATGAAGCCTAACCCACCAGTTCTTCTGTTGGGCTCAGGGCCCCCTGACTGACCTGTTTGGTGCAGGTGATCTCTGGCCACCTCAAACAAGCGCAGGTGCATGTTGGTGATGGGGTTAAAGGAGCCACAGGCCAGGAGCACCACAGGGATCGGGCTCTTCATCTTGTCAGGCACCTCCACATCAGTTGCAGTGGCCACCCTGCTTTTATGGAGACAAAGCTCATGTCAGGGAGTTATCACTGAGACAATTATCCAGACCAGTTTCTTTAAACCATACACAGACCATTACTTCTCACTTGTAAGATGACTGAGGAGGCCATAAAAACAACATTTAAGGAGAGTTTGCCATGGGCCATGAAGTATGCCAAGTGCTATGCCAAGATATATCCTTCTCTTGCCAAGTCCTTTTTAACAACCCTGAGTGGTTACTCATATAGCTCAGGGACCATAGAAGCTACTGGGCTGGGACTGGAACCCAGGCAGCCTGATCCCCGAACCTGTGTTCTGTTCTGAACCTCTGTATCCTCCCTGGGCTCTGACAGATCACCCTGGGGTCAGAAGGAGGGCTATAAAACCCCCCATAGTGTCATCTCTGGTAGTTCTAATAGATTTCACAAGGTCCAAGAGTAGATCAGCACTTTTAAAACACTTTTTGTTTTGAAACAATTTCAGACTTATTGAAAAAAGGTTGCAAAATGTGTACAAATTTTTTTAATACTCTTTATCCAGATTTCCCAATGTTAACATTTTACCACACTTGCTTTATCATTCACTCTTTCCACACACATACAAATCTGTATATAATTTTTATCTGAAATGTTTAAGAGCAAATCATAGACATAAAATCCCTTTATGTCTAAATACTTCAGTATGTGTTTTCTAAGAATGAAGACACTTTCTTACATAACTGCAGAGTGATGAGTGAAATAAGGAAACCACCACTGTTACCAGACTATTATCTAATGTGCAGACTGTATTCTGAGTTCACCTATTGTCCTTTATCTGGGGCCCAAGCATTTTGAGAGGGCGCAGCACACCGTCTGGCCTCACTCTGTTGAGGTTAAAGGTAAGAAGGAAACAGCCCGGACTCCAGGGCAGACTGGCAGACATGGCTCTCTTGCTTCTGAGATGCTGCCTCCTTGAGGTGGGCCTTGGTTGACCCCTAGTCTGCCTCTCACTGGCTTATGAGACCTAGGACAAACTGCAGACCCTTTCTGAGCCTCAGTTTCCTAATCTGCAAGATGGGGATAATGTTACTTACTCTTACAAGGTTGCAGTGAGGATAGATCAGTTACATATGGAAAAGTGCCTGGTACATAAGAAGCATTTCATAAACAATCACTGTGACTGTGGGGATGAGGACAACAATGGTGAGAAAGGTGCTGCTGCTGCTGCTGACCCTAACGGACAAGGAGAAAGGAGATGACGGTGTGTCTGTGGTAGGCAGTGTTTAAGATGGCTCCCAAGGATCCTTCTAGAATTCTGGTAATCTCACCCCTTAAGTATGGGTTGAAACTTGCTTCCAACAAACAGAATACAGCAGTAGTGGTTACCACTTCTGAGATCAGGTTACCAAAGGCCTCTGGCTTCCCTCTTGCTCCCTTCTTTTGCTTTGTCACTTGCTCACCCTGATGCTGTGAGCTGCCCCACGGAGACGCCCATGGGCCCAGGGAGTGAGAGAGACCTCTGGTGGCCAACAGCCAGTGAGGAACCGGACCTGCCAACAACTACGTGCATGAGTGTGGGTGCGATCTTTCCCCAGTTAAGTTTTCAGATGTGATTGTGGCCCTGTGAACACCCTGAGTGAAGCTTTATGAGATAAGCTTTTTAACTTAAGTTATATCTGGATTCATGACCCACAGAAACTGTGATATACTAAATAAAAATAATAAATAAATGTGTTGTTTTAAGCTGCTACATTTTGGTGTAATTGGTTATGCAGTAATAGATAATACAGCAGCCAACAGGAGGAATGCATTTACTGCCTTTATTGCTCATCTTGCGACGATGCTCTTAGCTGTAATCCTGCAGTTCTGGGGACAGCATGTGGAGTGCTCAGTCACGGGAACCTGGAGCCCTATTTGTATCTAAGGGAGACTGTTTTAACTTGGCCCATGTTATCTGCTTCTCTAGGCTTTCATCAAGCTTCCTACTTTATATTCTAGCAAGAATGAACTACCTGTTAGGGCTTCTTTGTGAGACCTTAATGGTTTCCTGCTTCAACCTTCTGTATGAGCTATTTTGGTTTCCTCCAACCAGAAAACCCCCTAGCACATTCCAATCTGTTAAGACCCAATTTATGTGATCACATTATTTATGACTTCAATCACTATCAATTACCTGCTAGGTACCTATATCAGTTAGGTATATACTGGCTGCAAATACCAGAAGCCTAACCTCAGTGGTCTAAACAAAGAGCGGTTCACTTGTTTCTAACATGACAAAAAGTCTGGAAGTAGGTACCTAATGACATTAGATCACCTGCAGTTCAGTTTTTCCCTCACAAGCTTGCTGTTACAGCTATAGCCATCATAACCTCAATCAAGGTAACGGGGAGGAGCAGGGAGCTGTACTGGATTAGCTATTCCTGTTAATCAATAACACAAGAGTATTTTAAGAACCTCCTGTAGATTTTGCTCCTGTCTCATTGGCAAGACTAGGTTACATGGTTACTGTAGCTACAATAGAGGCTAGAAAGGCATATATTTAGCTTGACAGCCTCTCCGGTGAGAACAGTGAGGGAAAGGCTATTGCAAACTGGATTAACTAATCCACTGTGGCTGCCACAGAGTTAGGGATACAAGTGTCTGGGAGCTGGGAGGGTAGAAGGCTGCTGAGATGGCTTCTCTAACATCTAGCTTAGGTTAGCTCATCTCTGACTTACCTTTAATAAATCACATCCCACATTCTATTGAAAAAAGAAAAGAAAAGAAAAGAAAACCTGCTTATGAGTCTCTCCTATCCACTGATCAGTAAATGCTTTAGGAGGGGAAGTGGTGTTTTCTCCGTCTTTGGATTTCAGCTTGAAGCACAGAGCCTGGCCCAGAGTGGGGCTCAGTGAAGACTGAGACAGGACACTGGCTGGCTGGAGGGCAGACCTGCCTCCTGCTGGCGGGAAGGCCCAGTGCATCTCCTACTGTACAGAGTTGTTCTGCATGTACTCTGAGCTACAGTGTGAAGATGAAAAGCTCTCAGCCTACGCGGGCCTTGGTCTCTCCACACTTCCTTTAAGGAAGCAGGAATACCCCCTACCGTGTGGGAAGAAAGCAGTCAACAAACTGCTGCTAGCTTCTTCCCAGGGAGGTTGGATGATTTAACGAGTTATTTGCAAAGTGTGCCAAGCTATTCACAAGAGCAGCCTCGTGATGACTGTATCTGAAAAGGGGGCTGACTGTTTTTTTTTTTACAACTATTATAAAGTCTTTCAAAATCCTATTTCATTTCGACAAAATATACATTGTTAGAATTGTTAAAACATGTAATTGTAGCATCTCAGGTAACCTGGGGCTCTCATCCATTTTTCCAAAAGTTCCCAAAAACTGTAAATGTGTTTGAATGGTGGCATCAACAGCACTGAAGTGTGATGCTGAGAAGGAGAATAAATGACCTTTATTAAGTGCCTTTCTTTTTCTTTTTTTGCTGTGGGCATACTGAGCCACACTGTTCTAATGGTAACTGTGCTCTGTCTGGGCCACATCTCAGGCTGAAGGACACAGTGAGTGCACATTTCCAGCATCAGTAACAGGATCGGTGCACCTGTACCATTTGTATACTCTAATTTGCTTCAGCTAAGTATCTTCCCAAGCCAAACCCAGAGAAATACAGTGATAGGGTTAAAATGGACTCACTCCAGGAATCCACCAGGACAATACACTGACTCTGGGTTGAGTGCAAATCTCATCAGACACAAGGCAAGACGCATGCCATAGAAGTGTTCCATCTGCCCTTATCATCTAATAATAGCTAGTGAGACCGAGCGAGTGAGGGAGACTTGCTATTGGGAAAGGCTTCTCATCAATAAGCATTTAATGGAGGCCACAGAGTGAGTAATCATTGCTGCTGAAGGATTTAACAAGTTGAGAATGTGGTGTACAAGCCTGTTGGAATTTATCATTAAACTGGAGATAAGGCAAATGGGTTCCACCCTTGGCTCCCGCCCCCTCTCCAGCTTTACTGTCTCCTACTCCACAGTTATCTAGAGAGCGTTTCATCCCACTCCTCAAGTGTAACGTGCTGCTTCTGCAAATGCAGTCATGACCACCCGAAATGCCCTCCTCCCCCTTGTCACCCTGGTGATCTGCCTCCAAGATTTTCTCCCTGGAATACTTACCTTATCTCTCCCCGCACTGCCCCTACCACCATGTTAACTCTGTATCTGCTACACATTTTATCACCTTTCTCTTTCTTCACCACAGAACTCTCACTGTTTTTATGCATGTTGCTGTTCTCCAAGTGGAGGATAATCTCCTGGAGGGTTTTTCCTTCTTTTTTCTTTTTCTAAGAGACAGAGTCTCACTTTGTTGTCCAGTTTGGAGTGCAGCGGCATAATCATAGCTCGCTGCAACCTCAAACTCCTGGGCTCAAGTGATTAGAGGGTGGTTTTTTTTTAAGTAATTTTTTTATTACACTTTAAGTTCTGGGGTACATGTATAGAACATGCAGGTTTGTTACATAGGTACATATGTGCCATGATGGTTTGCTGCATGCATCACCCCATCATCTACATTAGATATTTCTCCTAATGCTATCCCTCCTCTATCCCCCCAGTAGAGAGTGGTTTTCAAATTTATCGTGGTCCTTTCAACTCCTAGCACTGTGCCTGGCACCAATAGGTACCCAGGAAATGTGTGTGGAACAAACAAGAGAGTCGGTGTCTGTCCCTGACCAAGTATTTTTGTCAGAAGGCTACCTCCTCTCTTCGGTTCTGTCCTAGTCAATGGAGTGGGTCTTCCAGAGATATACAGTGAACTTTCTGGCTTCCTGAAGGCACACAAGATCCCTCCCCAAAACCCCACTTCACGCGACTCAATCTGAAATAAAAAAAGAGACATCCCTGCCTGTTGGGCCCTCTTTAACACCATGATCCTGTCAGAAGGGATATGCTGGCCTCCTGTACATTGACACCGAGGTCATTCCTCTGCCATAGAGAAGTGGAGGTTGATGGCTGTCCAATTGCCAAGACAGTCCAGATAATTCCTTCCA